CCGGGCATCGCTATTGTAGGTAGGTATACCGGGCATCGCTATTGTAGGTAGGTGTGCCGGGCATCGCTATTGCAGGTAGGTATAACGGGCATCGCTATTGTAGGTAGGTATACCGGGCATCGCTATTGTAGGTAGATATACCGGGCATCGCTATTGTAGGTAGATATACCGGGCATCGCTATTGTAGGTAGATATACCGGGCATCGCTATTGTAGGTAGGTATACCGGGCATCGCTATTGTAGGTAGATATACCGGGCATCGCTATTGTAGGTAGATATACCGGGCATCGCTATTGTAGGTAGGTATACCGGGCATCGCTATAGTAGGTAGGTGTACCGGGCATCGCTATTGTAGGTAGATATACCGGGTATCGCTTTTGTAGGAAGGTATACCGGGCATCGCTATTGTAGGTAAGTATACCGGGCATCGCTATTGTAGGTAGATATACCGGGCATCGCTATTGTAGGTAGGTTTACATGGTATCGCTATTGTAGGTAGATATACCGGGCATCGCTATTGTAGGTAGGTTTACATGGTATCGCTATTGTAGGTAGGTATACCGGGCATCGCTATAACTTTCTATTTTATAATATCTTAATTAATATACCAGACATCGCTATAACGGTCTATTTTGTAATATCCTTATTAATATACCAGACATCACTATAACGGTCTATTTTGTAATATCTTAATAATATACACGATATCGCAATTTACACTATTTTGATTAAACAGTCTGAAGACGTCCATTTATTTATAGAGACACACATCTCTGTATAAGATTTATTTTATACATACTGGAAACACATGTCTACTGTTCGAGGTCTGCTGTAGAATTTGATAGCAAGGGAGACTACTCCTGTATCTCGTAGGTGATCATATATTTACATGGGAAGTTACTTATATATCTAGACTCATCTTTCTCGGTAAGCAAATACCTTTAACTATGCAACAGGAAAAATGTATGTTGGTAAATCATAACATTTTTAGAAATTGTTTTCATATTAATTCCCGTTTAAATGTCAACCATTTTACAGACAATTAATTTCCTTAAAAAATGCAACGAATTTCATTGCAATACACAAAAGTAAGAGACCTCTCAAAACAGGAAGCTGAAATCTGTCGTCGAAATTCGTAGAGAAATGAGGACCGAAATATGTGAATGTTTGTCGGAGAAGCAGTTTTGTCTAACCTCCACTGGGTGAACACTGTAACTAAAATCAGCGGATATTATAATTGTGTCCTTTGGAATTAGGAAACTCCTTTAAGATATAGAAGGAAACCACTACATACCATTAAACCAGAAACTAGAACACAATACAAATGTACTATGTAGGACCAAGCGACGCACACTATATAATATGAACAATACAAATCTACTCTGTAGGACCAAGAGACGCACACTATATAATATGAATAATACAAATACACTTTGTAGGACCAAGAGACGCCCTCTATATAATATGAACAATACAAATACACTTTGTAGAACCAAGAGACGCACACTATATAATATGACCAATACAAATACACTTTGTAGGACCAAGAGACGCACTCTATATAATATGAACAATACAAATACACTTTGTAGGACCAAGAGACGCCCTCTATATAATATGAACAATACAAATATATAATGTAGGACCAAGAGACGCACTCTATATAATATGAACAATACAAATATATAATGTAGGACCAAGAGACGCACTCTATATAATATGAACAATACAAATACACTTTGTAGGACCAAGAGACCCACTCTATATAATATGAACAATACAAATACACTTTGTAGGACCAAGAGACGCACACTATATAATATGAACAATACAAATATATTATGTAGGTCCAAGAGACGCACACTATATAATTATATGAACAAAACAAATATATTATGTAGGACCAAGAGACGCACTCTATATAATATGAACAATACAAATATATTATGTAGGACCAAGAGACGCACTCAATATAATTATATGAACACTATAAACGTATAATGGTACCCTGTTGAATCCAGACACATAAAGCCATATTATACATATAGTATTGCTCTATGGAACCACAGTTATTTTATAATATAATATTACTCTTTTGGACCAATAAAAAGTAATATTGTCCAGTACTTTCTATTCACTACATAAAGTTCATGCAGTCTCCTGTTCAGATGAAGCTACAGCGAAATAAGTGGGTTATTTGTGTGCATCTTTGCCACATACTTTATGGTATTTACATAATACACAATTGATAGTATTTGTTTTGGAAGTCTTACCAAATAGCAGTAATTGCGCTGAGTAACCCATTCAGAATGGCGCTCTGCCTTGTGGTCTAGTGTGATGTCATTAGAATTTTGCTTCAAATATTACGCTACTGATTCCCGCACTATGATTTCATCGTGTTCTTTTCTAAAATGCAATTATAAGAAAATTTAATGGTTTTCCTGTTGAATATGATATATATATATATTTCGCTCGTGTGGCAAAATAAACCAATAATTTCACGAGTAATCGCAATTATGAAAACTATCGATATTCTGCCATACTCGTGAAATTAAATATCATCTGTATAGAATAGAATAGAAACCAAAAGCGTATATCATTGTGCTTTGTAAATACCATAGACTATGTATGTATATATACGTACATCATGGGAACCAGAGATATATGCTATTTTATCAAGTACAACTTTTCTACCGAAAGTACAAAAATACGTGGTTCTCTCCTAGGGTTACGTGGACGAGCATTGGTAACTGACACTCAGACTACGACAGGTAGGAATAAACAGCTTCATGTTACCTACATTGGCTGGCAGTTACAGAAGCTGTGTAATTAGCAGGGGAACTGATCAATCAAACAGGGTGTGGTACAGTGTTATAACCACCAGTAGGCAAGGTGATTTATATTCAGAAATTTGAGAATTTCGTCAGTACCACGTCTATCAGTATTGAAATGTGAATACCAGACTGAGCTATATTTCCAACACACAGAGGGGTGTAGGATGAGTCAGGGGGTATATCTTTCATGCACAGAGTCTGACCTCGATACTAGAACAGTCTATTCTTATCAAGAGGGATGGTTCCCACGTTGCACATTCCTCCTTAATGATTACATTTCTCACTAGTAATTGCTTTTAACATTTAATAAATAGTCTACATGCTAGTTACCTACCCTATCTGACTGACACTAAGTAACAAGCCTGGATATTAAATGTAATTATCTAATATTCATAGCCTGACCATCCCCGCATCACAATCAGCACTGACCGTTAACGGTGATAGTAGTTCGGCAATTTTGCATTGACGGGAAACCAGATTTAGGCGATATGGGTTGTATAGGTAAAGTTTAATATTGTACATTTCTTAAGTTTACTTTATAGTCCAAGTAGTTAACATCATTGCTGAAGTGTTAGTTAATAATGGCTAATTGTGTTGTACCTTCATTTCAGGAGCTAAAGCTAAAAAGGAGAGTACAGATGCCGCGCCCAGTCTCAAGGATGCCAAAGTGATATTTGTTGTCGGTAAGTAAACAAATGCGTCTGCTGCGGCGGCTGAGGCCACGCTTCATTTAATTCACAACGCGCGTACATAGTTGACATTATCCTCATACGTTGTATTTAAGTAGATTTAAGGTACATACTTGTACATGACTGGTTTATTTTTTATTTCAAATATGCGAACGTATACTGTGAGGCTGACGATTTAAACCTGGTAAAAGTTCTAGCCAATTGAATCGTCTTTTTTGTTTGCTTTGCCGACTTTCTAATCAACTTTACAATACACACTGCCATTATTAAAACCTATTTCCGTAATGTGAATGGAATGCTACCACATGATTGTCAATTAATGCTAGACGAGAGTCAAAAGATATTAGATGAAATTAAGTTGTCAAATGTTTTGCTCCACTATATGTTCTGATATACTCAATATGTCATTACTGAACGTTGGACTATCGCATAGGTCGGGGATTTAATGATAGTAAATACTTCTTATTATTGGAAACAATGTAGTAAATACTATTTATTGGAAACAAGGTAGTAAATACTTCTAATTATTGAAAACAAGTAAGGCCACGTTTGAAACATTCAGTGTATGTGTGCATGTATTTATTTCCTATTTGGATAAGAAGAAGCTGACTGTTGACAGTTATGATATTTGTAATCACTTAGCGTATTATTAGTGGAATGTGTATCACCAGCTGTTATACTACAGAGTACGTCCCCGAATAGCCCCAAGATATTATTGCTGGGGAAGAGTTGCCGGGACGTAGGTACTGACCTGATATATAGACTGCTATTTCATTAGTTTATGATTTACTGTGCGGGGTTAGCAGGTTCTTAGACAATTAAATAAACATAGGCTTTGTGTTAATCAAGTTTTGATAGCTTTCGGCCATAAAGTGTAAGCCAGGTGCATTGTATAGCACAGTAGTACAAGGAGATGGAACAAACATTCACCGACAGCTGTTTATACAGTGGCAAAGTTCTGCATCTGTGCAGTCTCATTCCTTTGTATTGCTGCACAGTCTCACAGTTAAATTCCTCTCTCGAAGACTGGTTATCAAGCTGTACACATTCAGCAGTGATTGGCACAATCATGTATGGCCAATATAGCAGACACCGGGCTGCAGGGATGTCACATTAACGAATAAACATATGGCAAACATTCCCCACCCCGACTAGTATATAGTGAATGAAGATAAATGGAATTAAAATGTTGCGCTTCTTACCTTGATAACAGATGTACGCAGAGCTCCGACTGGGATGTGTCCTGATGTAATCTCCATTTGACAAAAGTGTATCCTGGAGAGGGACATATTTTGAGATTAGATTTGAGAAAAAAACGCTGCAGTGTTAAATGATTCTTTTCTAACTCTCTCAGTAGATTGATACGTAAACATAATATCATTGCAACGCATCCTTTTAGGTCGAAATCGTCTGTAATTATGTTCTTCCTTTGAATGAAGCGAGACGTTTGATCAGACCCAGTTCTTTTCTCAAATATAATGTGGTAAGGGTCGCACCTTTAAAACCTAAGATGATATTTTGACGTAAAGTAAACCTGCATTACCCCCAGGAAGTGTGAAGTGCATTATAGTGAAGTCATTATAAACTTATCTTATAAATAAGTGCGAATTTCATGCAAGTTATTAACAACAACTGTTAAACCAAAAAAGATATCCTAATGAAACTTGCATCATATGATGTTGAATGTAATGTTTGGTGTGAATTATATTGATTCTAATATTTCGTGTAAATGATATTTAGCTGATAATATTGTGTTTAGTGTTGATGGTATTGATTGTGCATTCGGTGTTAATAACATTGGGTCCTTGCTAAGTGTTGATATTCATGAGTGGGGTCTTTGGTGTGAATTGTATTAGTTTGAAGTACGGTTTTAACAATACTGATACTGTTTTGTTGTAAAACATATTTTGACTCTCATTCGGTATGAGCCATATTGGTATCGTTGATTCTTTATGATATTGGGACTTAAGCTTGTTGTTAGGTATACTGAGGCTGTTGATTGTGACTGATGTGTTGTATTTCTAACACAGGTGGACCGGGTAGTGGTAAAGGAACACAGTGTGCTAAGATAGTTGAGAAGTATGGATTCTGTCATCTCTCATCGGGGGATCTCCTCCGGGAAGAGGTCTCCTCAGGCTCCGACCGTGGCAAACGGCTCAACGAAATTATGGAGAAAGGAGAGCTAGTGACTCTGGTGAGTATACAATACCAGCACTAGTCCTATCGTTATTGGTGTACACTGACTCTGGTGAGTATACAATACCAGCACTAGTCCTATCGTTATTGGTGTACACTGACTCTGGTGAGTATACAATACCAGCACTAGTCCTATCGTTATTGGTGTACACTGACTCTGGTGAGTATACAATACCAGCACTAGTCCTATCGTTATTGGTGTACACTGACTCTGGTGAGTATACAATACCAGCACTAGTCCTATCGTTATTGGTGTACACTGACTCTGGTGAGTATACAATACCAGCACTAGTCCTATCGTTATTGGTGTACACTGACTCTGGTGAGTATACAATACCAGCACTAGTCCTATCGTTATTGGTGTACACTGACTCTGGTGAGTATACAATACCAGCACTAGTCCTATCGTTATTGGTGTACACTGACTCTGGTGAGTATACAATACCAGCACTAGTCCTATCGTTATTGGTGTACACTGACTCTGGTGAGTATACAATACCAGCACTAGTCCTATCGTTATTGGTGTACACTGACTCTGGTGAGTATACAATACCAGCACTAGTCCTATCGTTATTGGTGTACACTGACTCTGGTGAGTATACAATACCAGCACTAGTCCTATCGTTATTGGTGTACACTGACTCTGGTGAGTATACAATACCAGCACTAGTCCTATCGTTATTGGTGTACACTGACTCTGGTGAGTATACAATACCAGCACTAGTCCTATCGTTATTGGTGTACACTGACTCTGGTGAGTATACAATACCAGCACTAGTCCTATCGTTATTGGTGTACACTGACTCTGGTGAGTATACAATACCAGCACTAGTCCTATCGTTATTGGTGTACACTGACTCTGGTGAGTATACAATACCAGCACTAGTCCTATCGTTATTGGTGTACACTGACTCTGGTGAGTATACAATACCAGCACTAGTCCTATCGTTATTGGTGTACACTGACTCTGGTGAGTATACAATACCAGCACTAGTCCTATCGTTATTGGTGTACACTGACTCTGGTGAGTATACAATACCAGCACTAGTCCTATCGTTATTGGTGTACACTGACTCTGGTGAGTATACAATACCAGCACTAGTCCTATCGTTATTGGTGTACACTGACTCTGGTGAGTATACAATACCAGCACTAGTCCTATCGTTATTGGTGTACACTGACTCTGGTGAGTATACAATACCAGCACTAGTCCTATCGTTATTGGTGTACACTGACTCTGGTGAGTATACAATACCAGCACTAGTCCTATCGTTATTGGTGTACACTGACTCTGGTGAGTATACAATACCAGCACTAGTCCTATCGTTATTGGTGTACACTGACTCTGGTGAGTATACAATACCAGCACTAGTCCTATCGTTATTGGTGTACACTGACTCTGGTGAGTATACAATACCAGCACTAGTCCTATCGTTATTGGTGTACACTGACTCTGGTGAGTATACAATACCAGCACTAGTCCTATCGTTATTGGTGTACACTGACTCTGGTGAGTATACAATACCAGCACTAGTCCTATCGTTATTGGTGTACACTGACTCTGGTGAGTATACAATACCAGCACTAGTCCTATCGTTATTGGTGTACACTGACTCTGGTGAGTATACAATACCAGCACTAGTCCTATCGTTATTGGTGTACACTGACTCTGGTGAGTATACAATACCAGCACTAGTCCTATCGTTATTGGTGTACACTGACTCTGGTGAGTATACAATACCAGCACTAGTCCTATCGTTATTGGTGTACACTGACTCTGGTGAGTATACAATACCAGCACTAGTCCTATCGTTATTGGTGTACACTGACTCTGGTGAGTATACAATACCAGCACTAGTCCTATCGTTATTGGTGTACACTGACTCTGGTGAGTATACAATGACAGTACTAGTCCTATCGTTATTGGTGTACAATACCAGCACTAGTCATATCGTTATTGGTGTACACTGACTTTGGTTAATATACAATACCCG